CAGCGATCGATCCAGGCTTGAAAGACACGCTTTAAATCATCATGCGAAAATTGCTCAAATTGCTCTCTTACAAAATTTTCAAGATCATCTGGACTCGCGAATTCGCGTCCTTCAGCTCTCTTTTTTAGCGTGCCGAATAAATAAAAGTCAGAGGGTGCAATATCAGGTGAATAAATTGGGTTTGGAACAACTTTGACATTGTTTTCCACCAAGTAATTCATTACCTTATGACTTTTGTGAACTCTTGAATTATCAAAATGAATTGCAAACTTTTGTTTTGTTGTTTGGATTTCTCAAACTCATCAGAATTGATAATTTTAATAAGAACATTGTCAATTAGATACTGAGCATTCATCGTATTAGGTTTTGAAGAATATCAATTGCGATGGTGCCATTCACGCCCCAAAAAACCGACAACATCATCATTGGTGTGTCAATTTTTTTTCTTCGGGAATGTTTGCGGATTTTCATCCTTCGGGATCCACATGATTTTGGCTTCTGTTGCATATTGAAACCAAGACTCGTCCCCTGTTACTAAAAAAGCGAAACTTCTTGGATTGATACGCACCCAATATAGAGAGGAGCTCTTTCGAAGATTGGACTCTAGATTTTTTTTGAACTGAATTAAGGTTGTGCGGAACCCAACGTGTATACGCTAGTTTGTAGTTCAAATAATTGTGCAGATAATAACTGACTGTTGTACGTGGTATCTTTGTCATCTCCTCTATCCTTCTGAGTGATGCTCTTGGGTCTTCATCTAGCGCTTGAAGAATTGCTTTGATTTTTCTTTGATCCGGCGATTTTTTGTCAATTTTTATGATGGGCGCCTTTTTGTTCATGAAGTGATACATCCTAACATGATACGTTACAGTGGAATAGCTAGGAGCATCCATACCGAAGCATTTTACCAATGTCTCGTAGATTTTTTTACAGTCTTTGCATTTTTTTGCAAGAGCGAGGATGTTTTCTTTATGATTCATTAAAAAAATGAAAAAAATCCCGCCAAAATTTCCCGCGAAACCGCCTCTTGTCTCAAAATTCATTTTATATCCCGGCATGGCGCCAAAATACAACATACTCATCATATACATATATTCATATTTTTTATTATATATTTATAATCAGCATATATCTCCTTTAATAGTCTCATATAGAGCGCTGTGCTAAACGCACCTTTGGACACCCTATATTTTATTTTATATTTTAAACCCTTTATTTTTTAATTAAATCATGTCTTGTAAATCAAATTACAACATGGCAAACTTTTGATTCGATATATATAGTTTACGTACAATATACGTAACAAGTGATAGCTCCATTAGAAAGCTGAGTTTTGAAAATTACAATACATAGCATATCATTTCCAGACTTTCCCACTTTATTTTATTTTATTTTTTTTTTAAATGTTTCGCAATTTCAGGATGCTTTTCCCCTTTAACTTTCTTAAATGCGTAATTTTTTTCTATCTGACAACTGGCTTGAAAGATCATTGAAAATGCCATATAAACAATTTCATTTTTTTTCGACTTTTTTTTATAAATAAACAAAATAAATATACAAATAAAATTATTTCTTAATTATTTTGTCATATTTGACAATTATATCCTGTCTCAAAGTATCCAAATCCGCAAACTGTGTTGCGTATCTCGAAGTGTCTTCGTCGTACGGCTTAATTACATCAGCCCTATCCAAGAACATCATCAAATGAAACGCGAGAGCTTTGTATTTTATCTGCATCAAAATTGCCAAAGCAGGATGGAAATCTCTTATTGATATGAACAGCAACAAAGCGTTCATTGCATTTCCAGTATCCAAGAAGTGGTGGGCGGCTCTTCTCAACAAACTCTTCGACTCATTCGAAAACTCTTCCAATTTGCAGACTTCGACAGAATCTTCCCATCTTCCGTTGTCCTGAAGATATCTTGCGGCAGAAAGATTAGCGCCAGCTAAATGCATCAATATACAGCCTTCTATAAATCTGTGCTGTGCAAAAAGTGGAACAGCGGTTGTTATCAAAAATTCTGTCACGTTTTGTGGCAAAATTTTATCTTCGTAACCGAGAAGCAACGCCGAACAAATGCTTGCCACTATTGTGAACTCGCTTTTGTTGGAGAGACTCTTGAAAACTTCGACAGCTCCTCTTCTATCACCCATTCTGAACTTGAACAACAAGTTGAAAATGGCAGAAATCGGAGTATCTGCAGGAGAAAACAGAGAAGATTGAATCCTCAACGCGGAAACAACTTCTTCTTTCCCTCCAAACATGGAATGTCGTGCTTGCAACCTCGGACCTCCCAAACTACGTGAAACACACTTCCAAATAATGGAATCAGTTGGAAATCCATGGTCATTAGCTATCTCAGCTATTTGAAGTGCTTCTGACCATGTTCCTGTAGTAGGATTCGTTAATAATTGCTCACCCATAAGCTCTAACCGTTGCTGGGCGGTTTTTAGCGGTTTTAAGAGGGCAGGTG